CCGAGACACACTGCCACCGACACCGGACACTCGTGTTTGCAAGTTGCCCTGTGAATGGCATTGGTTCTCCCACAGAAATAAAGCAGCATATAAGGAAAAGGTATCTTTTTGCTTACTTGACTTGAGTTTTCATTATTAGTTAGGAATTATTAAATTACTGATTAAGAATCTCAGGGTATCTAAAATTGCTGTAATTGAAAAGAAAGTGTCAAGTAACAAACAGAAGCTTTATTTAAATGAGACTGGGGGGTCACGGGGGCGCTCTCAAGCCCACTTGGGCCGGGGCGCGGCCTCGAGAACTCTGGTTGCAGGAGCTCTCCCAGCCCCGTCTTCTCCAGAAAGGGGTCCCCTCCTTTGTTTCTCAGGGCTTGTGCGTGGTTCACCATCACACTGCGTCTTGGGTTGCAATTTTTTTTGTTTCCAAATAAACCTGTTTTGCTGGAGAACTATCTGGCTGTCTATTTTTTTAAGCTAAACAAAAGATTATATTTACAGGAAGACAGTTGGGAGTTGAAGAGACTGGCTTCCAGCCCTCTTGGCATCCCCCAGGCTGCCACCTCTCTGGCCTCAGCTTCCTGTGGTAAACAGAAGAAAGCAGTGGAAGGTTCTGGAAGATCCCTTCAGCTAAAGCAGGGGTAGGGAACGTTTGGCTCGTGGGTCGTATAAAGCCTGAGAAATCGTTTGATCTGATCCTGCCAAGGCAAATGCAGGTGGGACTCAAAATTCAACAAATCTAGGAGATTTTTTTATAGCAACATAAATGTATATTAAGTGAATCATAATAATAACGTAAATTTTGAGGGACAAGCAAGGAACGTCCCTTACGTGATAGGACACATAAGGGTACATGACGGGACAGACACGTATGCTTCTCATCGGCTGCCTGTATTGCGGTGACTCAGAGGACAGACAGTGCCAGGCAGGCTGGGCGTGTACACGTCACGCAAGTGTTAACACACTGTGGCCCAACCCCGCAATCGGTGATGAGACAAGATGCGGTGAGATGATTCCTCGCTTCGTTGATGACCTCGCCTCCGATAATTGACGCTGATGTTGTCAACTCCTCGTTGACACAGATGATAACTCCAATCCAGCCCGTGTCCACGCATCCATGATCAACAATGCTCACAAAAACCGAATCTCAGGTGAAGCTTAAGGGAGTTATAGCACACAGAACAGACCTCACGGGGCGATGATGCGAACGTGGGAAATGTTCCAAATCCGTGACACAGCAATCAAAGCGAAATAATCGCATTGCTGGCGACACACACACTGGATAGTTATTAAAACTTAAGTGGTGTGACATCCTACAAACGGTGACGACAAAGAAAAGTTGATGCAGGGTGTCAATCTTCCCAAGAGAAATGGACAAATGATTATTTTTTTGTTGAAGTCAAAGGCAAACTTGTGTGCCTAGTTTGTGGCGATGTGTTAGCAGGAATGAGAAAAGCCAACCTGGAGTGTCATTACGGTTTAAAACATGCTGAACTCAATGAATTGGGAGGCTAAGTGCGTCTGGACAAAAATCAATGCTCTCCAGCGGGGTTTGGAATCACGACAAGCCGCTTTCACTAGGCCTCGTTGTGACAGAGACAACGTTATTCAGAAGACATCTAGTGAGTTAGCTAGTTGCAAAGAAGCTGAGGCCTCATGTAGAGGGAGTTTGTGAGAGTGCACGGTGGCTGCTCGGAGTTGTTAGCACCAAAGTAAAATCGTCTCAGAGTGTTAGTTTGTCTCGGAGAACCGTCTCAGGTCGGGTTTCCGACTTAGCACAAGATACTGTGAAAATACTGAAGGATTCTGCAGGAGATTTCCAATTTTTCTCTCTGGCTTGTGACGAGACAACGGACGTAACAAATACTGCCCAACAGGCCATTTTTGTTGGTGGGATAACTGCAGAGTTTGACATGGGAGAGGAACTGCCGTCACTGGAAGCCATGCATGGCCCTACAAGAGGCGAGGACTGGTTGAGAGACTTGTTTTATTCAATGAAAAAACTTGAGCTAACATTTGAAAACTTAAGTGGCCTTACTGCAGATGGGGCTCCAGCCATGGTTGGCTAGCAAAAAGGGTTAATTGCATTTGTCAAGAAAGAACTGAATCGTCTCAGTCTTGATCCAAGTGATTTAATTATCTGCCACTGCATCATACACCAAGAAAGGCTCTGTGCACAGTCGTTGCGGCTCAACAGTGTGATGTCCACAGTAGTGCCATGCATAAATTTTGTCAAAAGCAGAGGGTTTAACAGCCACTGGTTTAAGGAGTTACTGAATGACCTTGACTCTGAGTACGGTGATCTTGTGTATCACTGTGAAGTGCGGTGGCTGAGTCGCGGGAACATGCCCATGAGGTTTCATGAACTGCGGGACGAAGTCCAGCAGCTCATGGAGATGAGGGAAAGCTGTCGGGGAACTCAGTGACAGCAAGAGGCTGTGGGATCTAGCGTCGTGGTGGACATCACCAAGTCCCTCTCAGAGCTGACCGTCAAGCTGCAGGGCCCCAACCAGCTTCTGAGCTCCCTGCTCTCAAACATGAAATCATCTGAAGCTAGATTAAGGCTGTGGAAAGTGCAGCTCGAAAGCAATACCACGGGGCAGTTCCCGCTCTGGAGGGGGAAGGCCTTCTGTAACACTTGGATGTGCTGGTGAACGTGCGAAACTAGCTGAGGCATTGAATGGAAGCTTCAGGGACCTGAAAAGTAAGCAAAAGGAACTGAACATCTTTGCCACCCGTTCAGTGCAGGCCCAGCTGATGGGCCTGATGACCCACAACATGAAATCATTGTGTTGCAAAGCGAGGATGAGCTGAAAGCTGGGGACAACCTCCCACTGCTCGAGTTCCACAAGCCTTACACAAGCAGTGATGGATTTCCCACTTTGAGGAGACATGCATTAAATACGCATCTGTGTTCAGAACAAATT